TAGAGTGCAGGCAGCATGGCCAAGACATCTTGCCTTTATCTGAGCAAAATAAAGTATTATCTTTGTAGCTATGTAGCTTGTGACAGTGGGAACAACTAGTTCACAGCTGGATAGTGGTGGCAGCATCTGTCACAGAACAGATCACAAAAAATATAATATATTTCTGGACTGAGCTTCCCTCAAGACTGAGGCCTCCAAAACAACCCATTTTCATCACCAGCAACCAAAAATCTTCTCTTGATTATTACTCGCAACCCAGTGAGTTACCCAGTGGTAACTGACAGACTGAGCAGGAGGTTTGCACAGGTTGGGTTCTCTACCCATTTTCCTCAAAGAAGATGAGGAACAGCTGCCCAAAAGGCACATCCTATACTCTGTAAGTAGTGACTAAGGCTACTCCAAAGCTTAGTCTCTGAAGGACTGGATTAGCAGTTCATAGTGCAGTCTCAGTAAGAGGATCATGAGTAATCCATGCCTCCACACAGAACAGCCTATTCCTCACCTTCCTCTCAGAGCCGATTTTCCAGCTCCTCTTGTTCAGCCATGCTGTCTGATACATAGAAAAAAGCCATTTCAAAATGGACAAAGTAGACTTTTTCCTCCTGAAGGAAAAATACTTTAAATCATACATTCCTATCCAGTATTACAACGTCTTAGTTTTAAAAATTTATATGCTTGTATGTCCCAAATTTACAAGGGTTCAGGGTTGGATGGGGGACTTTTATTAATGTACCTTATTAATGAAATCATTGTCTGGGATTAAATCTTTAGTTAGGAACCAATCCTTTTTCAGTTAAGTTAGTAGCTAACTTACACTAAGCAGCACCTGGCCTTTTGATTTTATGAAGCATACTTAAAAATCCATATTTTTTTAAAAAGTCAACTGTCTGATTTGGTCCAGAAGAAACAAGAATATTTTCTCTAAGATATATGTTACATTGTAGGCAATTATAGTTGGTTGTTTTGTTTTTAAATTTGCATGTAGGTGCATATATATGCATCTCCATTCACAGCTGTACTCAAACACAGAATGAGGACCAGATTATGAAGTTGAAATTATTCTTCTATTGAAACACCTATAACAAGTCTATGTATAAGTACTAAACAAAGTGCATATGCATTCATACAGCTTGGTAAGTTTCATTGGTGTAAGTTACTCCAGGTCAATAGAACTGTACCAATACAAAATAGGTAAAAATTCAGATTTTATATGAGGCACCTCTAAGGATACCTTAAAATGTGTGAGTTATGTATTACTGTGTGTTTATGAGATGACGAGAGTGAGTGCTCATTGTAAAATAAATTTTTTTTTTGGTAGAATGTTACTTTTGTTACTGCTTTTACCTTCAAACAGTTCTTCTTCCTTCATCAGTTAAGATCAGAAACAAAAGAAAGAACAATTTATTAAAAAAAGGTGCCTGGCAGGACTGAAACAAAAGCATTCTCCTCAAAAATTAGAGGGGGTGGCGGACACTACCTGTCAAAGCTTGCTAACATTTGGGCTTGCAGCCAGCTCTGCAAAGGAATTTAGTTTTCTATTTGGTGGTACAATCACTTAGACACTCTTCCCTGCAGTGGTTTGAGAAAAGTAGAAGAGGTCAGCTTATGTACAAATCCATCTTGGCATTTCTAGTTTGGAGAAAGTGCCAGCAGTAGAAAAAGTTAAAACAAATCTATCTGAGGATACGTTTTGTGCTAGAAAACATGGCTGACTGTATTTCTGTAGGTTCTGCAGTCTGTACTCCTGTGAGATGCCAGTGGGTGGATACCCATGCTGACAAAGAAGGGAGTGGTAGGAAAAGCGTTCATGGTATATGTGGAAGAAGCGATACCTTGAAGAAAGCCAGTTCTTTGCATGGTAAGGGGACTGAGGATGGTTCTGTGAATCTCAGTAGTGCTTCAGTGAAGAAACTGCAATGGGATATTGTCGCAGTAGAGATGGACACGACAAGTAACAGATCATGCAAAATGGCTACTTTATTTTTCTAACACACCTTTTTATCCCCTTCTTCAGTGTATGTGTTCATATATGATTTGTTTAGTTAGTAACTAACAGTTCATGATTGGTGAGTCGTCAGGACGGTTCTTCTTATCATTATCTTGTTTTTGCACCGCTCTTCTCAGGACTTTCCAGACTTTCAAGGATACACTACAAGCTGCTCAAGGTCACGCTGTTCTCGAATTGTCAGGCATTCCGCAGACCCGTTGCATCCCCCGACAGGATATGACAAGAGACCAATAGCCTCTCCTTGCCTATAGATTTCAGAGAATAAGCAAGTTGTTCTTAAAAACTAGAACAATAGGGGATTCACATCACTTTTTTTAAGATTACTGGAGAAGGAATTTGATGGTGGTGTCAAATATAAGAGGGGTACAAATTTGAAGTCTTGAAAGCATAAGCTAGCAGAACTATTTAGGGTTACCACCATTCATGTTAGTGGTTGAATCTTAACATTTTTTTTTTAGTAGAGACAGAGTAGCAACTGTTGGTTTTTCTGAGTGCATCACAGCAAACCCAGTACAGGAGTGGATGCAAGGTGTGATTCCTACCCCCAGAAGACTGTGCCAAAACCAGCATGGGGCGACTTTGCATGTTTGTTCCCTAAGCTATCAATACGAATGGATGGCTGCAAGTAGCTTCATCCTGTTTATAAAAAAAAGTGACCTGAAAAAGGAGGGAAAAAAAACCCCAAACCAAAAGAAGTTGACTTCAGAATTTCAGAGAAAACAGACCAGGCTTTGTCTGCAAGTGGATGAAGAAACCAACAAGACTGGTTTATAAGTGGGAACCTCGTGATGGTCACGCTGAGATGACCATAGTATCATGCCTTAAGTACACAGAACTCTGCTGCTTTAAGTTGCATTGCAACACCAACTACAAACCAGAGCAATGAGCTCCATTATGTCATGGAGACATCTAGTCCAGCTGCACTATGCCTCCCACAAAAAGAAATGCTTTAAAAGCTGCCAGTCTTCCCAATTGCACCAGCTGCTCTTCACACATAACCAGCTGTCAGCAACTACCAATTTGAACAGAATGAGAAAGCCACTGCCTGCACACTGCAGTCAGGGGCCTTATTACTGCCAGAATTAAGTTTCAGCACAGCTAGAGCCAAAGTGTCACAATCAACTCAAGATACAACAGTATAGAGGTGCAGAATCCACATCATGAGGAATACTTAAGGAAGCATATCCACCACTCATTGTGCAACAAACATAGTTACAGTAGTAGTTGACAGGTAGAGGATGGGAAACTATCAGTATGTATATTTGCAGAAAGTCAAAATGAGCATTTTTCTACTACACATTTTTCCTCTCCATAAACTCTACTAGCTAGATGCTAGTGCAACATCACTATTCTGAGAAAGCTCCTGAGTTGGCCTGCAAGACTCTCTATGTTCACTGGTCACATTCAGGCAATTTGAAGAAACTCCAGAAAGTGTCGACACACGCTAACAGTTACTCAGAAATTGTACGAGCTTCCAAACAACTCAATATTTTCCTAGTGCTCAAGTGTGTCTAACCCACACAAATGAAAACACAAGCTAAACAGAAGAATTTGCTCAGCAGCATATTATGACTTTACGCTTTACGTGGACGTATGCTGCAAATAGCATGGGATGACCTAGCTTAACAGCCTGAACCACAGAGTTATCAATTTTTTGCCATGGCTGTTTTGAGTATCCTTGAATAGCTACTTCCTTCTGCACTTTCCTCTCACCCTTAAAACAAAAGGAAAAAAAACCCCAGAGTGTTTTGAACAGAACTCTGTAATTGGAACAAAAGGTGGCAGTTCAAACCATCTGCTTACAATTCTACAGTACAAACAAACCACATGCTAGTGAAAGCTTATTGAACTTGTTCTGGCAGAAAACCATGTCTCCCCCAGGGAAGGAGGTGGTGGTAATGCCTTAGGGACAGAGATTTTGTGATTTTGCTATCTTCCCTCTATTGATTAGGTTTAATGACATAAGGCTTGTTCTGTACATGCAGCTTTTCCTGTTGAAAAGTACAGTACTTGGGCCACGACACTCTGACCTTTTCTTCCGAGTTAACAGCAAGATCCACAAGCCTGTCTACACTGCAAAAAGCAACATAAGGAGGAGAGCCTTGAGCTAGCTAAAAACCAAGCTGCAAGCATTAGAGTTACAACACTGTGATGCGCTGCAGAAACTACTTATTGAGTTGAAAAATAGGGCTAATTTACATCAGCAACAATGTCACACTCACATGGCCAAGCAACTTTCAGGAGCCACATCTGTATCTTGAAACAATGCGATTTGCAATGTGTGGCTATAACTAAGTCTTGTTCATGTCGGGTATCCTTGGAACACAGAAAGTGGAACTAGGCAGGTACACTAAGTAGATTAAGCTATGGTGGCTGGGATGAGTTTCACAAAGCAACCACACAAACTTGTGAAAGAAGAATCGATTCAGAGTTACTAAACACAAAGACATCAATTCTGGTCCAGGGAGTGGGGAGAAGAATCTGTCATCTAACACAGGATGGTTGCACTCTTGAATGCACAAGCTGCAACATCTGTGCCTTTGCTTGGGCCATCTGCCATGTCAGGTCTGCTTCTCTCAGCTCTTTTGAGATTCCAGGCATCTCTCTGCACCAGTCTTCTACCCAGTCTCTCAGTGCTTCCCCTCAGTCCACAGTTCTTTCACCCCCATTGGTATCATTTGAGCCAGGAGACTTTACCTGTTAGTACACCCCTATATTTACAATACTGTTCTTGCTTTGAGTTACAGCAGTGATCTCACAGAGAGAGCTTGTCTTAGACTGTGACCATGGTGGATAGAGTACCCCTTATGACTGTGAATGATTTCAAACATTACTATTGTATCTTTGCAACCAAATGTCCCATGCCCCCTGAAAACTGAGCCTAGGTTTTAACATTCATTGTCTCCTCCCACAAAACCCAGGCTAAAATACTAGTTTTAGCAAGATGAGTTACATGCCAAGGAGAAAGGGCTACATGACAGTAAGAGGCCAGATTTACTGTACAGCAAAATACATGAGAAACAAACAGGTCTACAGCAGGACTGGAAAACAATTACAGATCTCAGCTACTTGGGTAAGGTCTACTCCTCCAGGCATTGCTTAACCTCTCTACTTGCACAGCCTTGAGAAGGAGCTAACAGCCCAAATGAAGAAGTTTTGCCAACTCTCTACAGTTCCCCATTATACAGTGTAGGGGGACAACAGACTAAAGACCTCATAGTGACTTTGCATCTTCTGCTTTTCCTATTATTTTGCATACTGCTACAGTCCTTTATTTTCAATTTTCCCCAGGAATTACTTCATCCTTCTTGTCAGAGCTGCCTTGCCTGTTGAATCACTAGCAGATGTTATTTTTAACGGGCAATATAAAATGATGAGGATATTTACAGATATCCTTAAAGCACAGAGCTTATTTCTCTATTACATCTCCTAGAGATTTCAAGGCACAGCATGTGGAATACTGCAGAGCACCATTTGCATATCAAAGAAGATACAAGGAAGTTTAATGCTTTGGCTGTCATGATGATCAATACATGCTGTACAGTATATTAAACTAGCCTGACTCTACATCAGACCAGTGCTAGAAATTTTAGCCCCTGTAGCTCAGAGTGCTGGTGACTGCCTAAAGAAGAACCCAGGCATCAAGCTAGCTGCATTTAGTTTACACAAAGCTGTGTGTCTGTTTCCAAACAGTAAACAAGAGTGCATTAGTAGTTACACCACCTACAAGAAGCCATTCATTGGAACAGCTAATACACATTTCACTCAACACAAAGACTTACAAAATCCACTAGAACTCGGAAAGAAGTAGGAATTTTTCTCCTGTGAAAATTTCTTACTGAGGAATTTCTTTATTCTGCACCAGAACTGGGAACCATCCCCTTCTGCCACCAATAATGGCCCTTGTAATCTTCAGGAATGAGGACAGGTAGGATGCAGTTAGAGTTTCAACCACCAGGAATTAGAAATAGGATTTCCCTGTATCACAGTTGAGTGTCCAGCCCCCTGGGTTATTATTTATGAAGACGAATTTCTCCACCTCTGGCTTCCAGAAAGTCTGCCTGGGACTTGAGCAACCTTCAGCCAATAAAACATCGCTGAAACAGGTAGATTCATAACAGAATACTGACTGGCGTGGGCTATCCTCCAACACAACCACTAGCAGACGGACTAGCAGCTCTTCTCTTCCATGCTACTGTTCAAAGGGTATGCCATATAGGAGGAAGAAAATCTAACCCGAGTAGAGCTGGGTACTACACCCCCAAACTTACTCCACCCCTTAAGCAATTTTACAGACTCTTGTGGCAAAAATATAGTAGTGGAGCCCAGTCTCCTTTTATGGAAATTCCCCCCCCGAAAAAAATCTTTGGTGAAACCCTCTAACAAATCTTAACCTCACTACCACTGTTTGAGGGCACAACCAGAGGCACTGCTTTGCTATAGCCTATATGAAAACAAGCATTACAATACAGTCAGGAGAGTTGTCTTTATGCTGCATTCTCACTGCATGATCATGTAAAACAAGCTTTACAGTCTGTGTGCTTGTTCAAGACTAAATGTTCTTTTGCATTTTACACTCTTCAGAGACATTCACACCTTCGTCTAAGCAATGCTGAGAAACTCAAGTATTACTAAATGTTCATGCAGTTTTACCTAATACCGTATATTTTGAGGTCCTTCTTTTCATGGGCTGGCAGTGTAACTTCAGTCTGAGCAGGAAGAACAATCAGCCTCACACTAGTTCCTTGTGATTTATTAACATAACACTATTCACCCATCCCAAAGCAGGTTTTTTTTCCACCTACCCCTGAAAAAAACAGCTATTTCTAAACCTGAAAGCCATTTTGTTCCACAAACGAACCACTCACCTCTGAGACCTCGTGGCACAGCCATATCACACCAGTTCAAGAAAACCAAGCAGAGGTGGGAGGCTGCAAAGAAAAAAAAAAAACACCCCGCGGACAGGTCAGTGTCAGCCAACAGAAGATAAAGCATCTCTCCTTTGCCAGAGAAAAGAAAGACAAACTATCTTCCAGCTTAAATCAGGTGTTTCCAGTAAATAAACATAAATCAGGAATAGTTTAATAGCAAGAACTATTTTAAGAATCAATTCAGGCCCCAATGTTAGCAATAATATTCTCCAGTTATTCTTTTCCTTACCTGGCTATTCCATAACAAGGGTTCTGAAATCTCAAGGTCATGAGAGGTTTCAGATTCTATCAGAAAGCTATCTTCTTCTTGCAAAGCCAGCTCAAATAAAGTACTTTAGGTAACAGAGAATAGATGCACACAGGCCACCACATCTCATACTCTCCTGCATTTAGCCTCCTCCCTTAGTCTATCTTTACAGCACCCAACTTCCCCCTCACCCTGCAAGGTGGTGATTTTTATAGCAGCTGTTGCTCATCTCCCTTGATCCCGGTCAGGGCTGCAGTTAGCCCTTCAACAGCCCTGCATCAGGGCATCCGGGGATGTTGTTTTCCCTCCTCCTCCAAAGCCCTCATGCTGCAACCTGTGTGTGGAAAGGAAGTCAGCACCTATGATCTGCCTGCTGTTTTCTGTCACTGAAGTTTGTTGTACAGAACTGGCCGATGCACTGGTAACACCACCCCACTGTGGGTACAGGTACCTCAGGTACTGCTTCTTTGCCACAGGGCCAGCGCACTTCAGGAGCACATAGCGCTTTTGTTGTTGGAGTGCAATGGCATGACAAAGTTGTGGTAGCAAGAACAGGTTTTCTGTGGAAGAAACATATTGCATGAAAGCCCTGAGTGAAGTCATCTTTCATAAGCCCTGAGGCATGTTTATTGTTAGTAGAATAGATAACAAGATGCTTACAGCAGTGTATGTAATTAGGAAAAAAAATCTCCAGTGTAAAACATCAGTGCCATCACAAGTAAGAATTAGATAAGCATGTGTGAATCCTTCATAAACTCGGTCATCCTTATTGTTACCAACAAGCCAAATCAGAAGCCTGGCCTGCTGCTGTGCAATTTGAGTGTGTTCTGTGGAGAGACAGTGAGATGGGCAGGACGCCACCAACCCTGAGAATCTGTGGGAGCTGGACTTGTTCAGCCTGGGGAAGAAACAGTTTCAGAGGGACACAAAACGAGCCCCCCGGTAGCTACGAGGGGTTTACTGAGAAGATGGATCTGGGCTCTTTATTGAGGTGCTCTGTGGAGGAAAAGGGACAACAGACATAAATTGAAAAAAACAGGTTTTAGATAAAGAAGGTAATTTTCATGATGAGAATAATTAAGGAAGAGTTACCCAGAGTCCTTGGAGGTTTTTCAAGACTGGGCAAATCCGTGAGCACTCTGACGCGGATTCAGTGTGACCCTGCTCTGGGCAGGAGACCCCCCGAGGGCCCTTCTGGCTGGGGTGTCCCTGTTATGTACTAATCAGCTGAGTCCTTCCCGCAGACTGGCAGAAGCCAGCCACTGGATGTCACCCTGCACTCACCAAACAATGCTGCTCCCACAGGCAAACGAAAGATCAAATCCCTTTGCAGCTGGAAGGCTTTCTTAATTATAAGCTCTTTTTACTTCAGGTGATGATTTAGGAGTATTACACTTCTTTAAAGCCAACCTTGCTGAAAAATACACAATGGTTTTGTTTAAAAGCTTTGGAATCCCCACCTAAGGTTGAAATGCCAACTTCAGCCAAATAGATACCATGAGATCGCAAGTCAAGGTGCAGTTCAAGGCCACATCCTACACAGCCTTGTTTAAATGCAAAACTGAAATACACATCAAGATGTGCATATATTTTCCCTATGCTGGGATAAAATGAACAGAAACAGACTGTAAGATCTTGTCATATAAATAGCACACACTGCATGTAAGATATTGTGTACATATTACTAAAACAGTAACAGTGAAACTGCTGTGGTTTCTAGAAAGGAACTGCAAGGACAGTAATCACTGTAGGGGAAAAAGAAAGAAACTAGAAAATCAAAAGCATCCTCCACTGCCTGCTAGCATAATATTGATCCTCTTCTCCTGAAAGTCAGTTCCTGTTAATTTCAGCCAGATACACTACAGCATGAACACTTAGGGGTCTGAATGGCAAGCTGTGCTGTTCTGAAATGAGCTTCACCTAAGAATGTGAAATGCGGAAAGCAGATCTATGTTCAGTGTCAAAGCTATTGATCTTTAACTGTCAACTTCACATTAATAGTGCTGCCAACTGCAAGCACGCAAAAGTTTTCTACAGATGTCCTGTGCTCCCCTGTCATTTCTCCCTTCCCCACTTCCCCCAGATTTCATCGTACAACTCTGGGATCATTTTGTTTAGCTTTGGTGCTAGTGCTGTTAAGATTAAGGTTGTCACACTTCCCTACATTTGTAAAGGGTAGAAACTTAGACTTTCCTCTAAAACCAGGAGATTGTCTCATTTTTCTTTTGTAGTAATCAGGCCTTAGCAATGGGAATTTTAAGTTAATCAAACATTGTGAAATTTGCGATAAAATAACGAAAAACGGCATACTGAAAATAAAACCAAGCACTGATTTGATTCAAGTGAATGAATGACAATTGAGGCATATTGTGCATCTTCTCTAGGGTGAGAAGACCATGTCAGACTGCAATATCTCCACTCTTCTGAGCTCACACACCATCCCTTGTAAAGTGAATCTATGCAACAGGCCTTCTTGGCATAGCATTTACACAGTGAAGAGGTTGCCCTCAGAGATGCCGTAAAGATCAGGAATCGCTGCATTCATTGTATCACATCCCTGGTGACTAACGAATGAAGTCACAGTTCTCCTTTGGGCAACTAAAAAAAGGATCCTGCCAATAAGTCACATAATGAAGCTGTAAATTTATCTAGTCTATCATACCAGAGTTCAAATTGTCGCATAGGTCACCAGTGCTTGTGAGATGACAGTTTTACACAATGTGGCTGTATAAAACAAGTACCTATGACATTGTGCAGACAAAAGGTGCTATAAAGCTTCATTAAATTGGAAACCATCCAACAATTGCACATTAGAGGCTGAATTCAGTAGACAAGTAGCTTTGCCAGTACAATGCTTCTTCACAGCCAGATGCTTTATGAATACCACAAAGTGAACCCTTATCTCACTTTCCTCAGAATTAGATTTTCAAGTAGCAAAGACAGACTTTGATGCCCCTTGAAAGCCTGCTAAGTTATTTTCTGCACAGAAGAGATCACCATAGAACAGGGCCTCTGATGGCAGCCAGGGAAAAGGCAAAAAGAAATAAATACATACTGCCCACATTCTGCCACGATGGCCCCAGACTTGCTGTAACTGCCAAAGAAGTCATAGCAGGCTGTTTTTCACTGATACTCCAAAAGTTGCCCTTTGTGCAAGCTCAAAAAGGACAATACATGTATGCCTACTCCCTGCTGTATGCATCCTGCACTGGAAGTATTCTCCTCTTAGTTGTTTTGCTGTCCTGAAGTAGGTTAAAGAGCAAACAGGAGCAGAAACCAGTAACATCTGCAAGCTTTTCTTTACAAGGACATGGGTTAAGGATTAAGCACAATATCAAGGACTATGAACACTGGTCCCACTTTATACCACAGAATGTCCAGTTCTGGCCTGGGGCTCCTGCACTGTAAGTGAAGAGGAAAGGATGGTAACTTTGTGGAGAAATGTATATAAAGTTTTTACATATACCTCTTATACATCCATGTAGGACTGGGTACTTTAATAACGAGGAAAAACTTGTATTTTCCAATCGCAAGTGCTAAACCTCACCTGGCAATTTTTATTCATATCCACAGGGCAATTTATATATATTTTGTGTGTTGTTTGCAAACACCTACTGCTACATATACTATCCTGGCACTTGCAGCTTCTAATGTGTGCCTAGGTGTAGGATGCATTTCCATGAAGTAGCAGGCCTATCTAAAATGAATACATGCAATTGCAAAAACTTCATGGTGGAAAGCTGTGCTGAGTGGGAACCATCCAGATAAAAAATTAGTTTGTTGGTTAAAAAGTAACAGTTTGCTCTCAGACAACCCTGCCAGAGGTCTTTGACAAATGCAAGTACTGCTAGTCCTAAAATGTTCTGTCATTCAACCTCCCCAGAATCATGACATTTTACCTAAAGAACTCACTTTTTGAGGCCGAACTGACAACATGGAGGCTGAATAGCACCACCACTTTCAGCCATAGGCATGTCTAACACTGAGTAGCACAACCTCACCCTCTGGGGGGCAGGAGGCTCAGCCCAACAGCTCCCCACGCGTCCCCCTGTCCTGGGTGGAGGAAGCAGAGGGTGGAGGCAGCGGAGGGCTGACAGGACGATGACCAGACCAGGACTAGCACCCTCGCAGCCATTATGCCTCAGGCGGCCCCTTCCTCCCCGCCCCGGCCCGTGAGCTGGGGGCGCGAGGGGGCAGAGAGTGCCCAATTCCGATTGGCTGCCGTGCTGGTGGGCGCTCGATCCCGCCCTTCTGGAAGGTTCTCCACGCTGAGGCACCGGGAGCTCTGAGGGCAGACGGAGCTTTACCCGGTGTTGGGCTGCCACAGGAGGGCACTCGGGGTCGCATTTAGGCTTTAGTTGCCGAGGCAGAGTACCCGTCTCTATTCTGTGGCTTCAGAAATGTGCTTGTTCGTAAAAAATTAAATCTGCTAATTCTTCACCCGATTCCATCGTGAGGCTCTCCACGACATAGCAGGCATTCCAGCGCTGGCAGTCTGACCGTTAAGAGTCAGAGAAGGATCAGCAGGATACCTCCTCCAATTCTCATACTGCGAACATTTAGCAGAGGCTAAATGTCTTCTGTACCAGCACCCAGGGGAGCAAGCGGGCACAGTGCTGCCTCCAAGCCAGGGGAAGCCCTGGGCAGGCACCATCCCCAGCCTTACCCCATGCTCCTGTTTCAGCCCATGGCTCTGAGCCACAGTTTCAGCTTGAACATACCCCATACCAGCACCCATGACAGGTGAGATACTCTTTTTGACACACTGCTAAAGGCCATATTTAGTTACTGATGGTTTCTCAGTTGTTGGATAGCCCTTGCAACAAAAGTTACGTATTCCAGCAAGTCACAGATAGCTTACCCAAGGAAGGTATTTTTAACATCTAATACATGGTGTAAGGTTATGGCAGGAAAATGCAGATCAAGATTGCACATCTAATCCCATACATAGCATATTTATACCACACAGACTTATAGCAATTCAAAGGCTATCAGCTTTATTAACGAATAACAAAGTATACACAGGTAAAAAATTTCTAAAGAACAAATCCTGTGTGGGACTCTTTGCCCATCTCAGAGCACTCCCTTTAAATGAAAACTTTCTTGTTTTGAAAAAAGGTTACTTGTTTCACAAACATCTACTACAGGAAAGGCTGTGTGTTCAGGGAGGGTGTCCAGTTTTCCTCCTGTCAGCTTTCCCTGCTAGCAGTCAAGAGATTACCCGACTGCTTTCAGCACTATTCACAGAAGAAATCAATATCCTGAAAAAGAGAGTTGAAAGATGTTTTGAGATTAGTGAAGGATTAACATTCCTTCATTAACCCCCAAAGGTACGTGAGTAGATGCAAACACAGAATATGCTGTAATACACTCAAAGTACACCATAATAAAAGTATTTTGGAAAAGAAAAATTTTGTCTTTTGACTCCTTTTGCATCGCTGGGATGATTTGTTCCTGACATAAATTTTAAAGTGAATTAGGCAATACCACTTTCTCTCTTCACTTCAAATGATTCCTTTATCTCCCTTTTTTGTTTTGTATTCCCACATCCATACCTGGATTTATGAGTCATATGTAAGCCTTTATCCTTACACAGTTCCTAATCACACATGAAAAGGATGCCTTAAACAGACCGAGGCTATGTGATACACTTGCTATGGAGAAACATGACTAGAAAATAAATGCCAGTATTTTGCTTGAAAACTTCCAGCATGGGATAGACTTCCACAGCATATTGCTTTCATCTAACTTCCTGCTATTATCTTATATGGTTATGCAGATCTCGATTCTGCTGCAGGGAATTATCATACTGTGGTGCTCAAACCTCTACATTTACATCAGACCAGTGTATCACATATAGCTGTCCACTGAAAGCAGAAGACAGGTAGGTAGTTGTTTCAGAGCAGATGCTTACCGGTAACAAAAGTACTCTCAGCCAGCAAATGGCCAATTTTAAGCGATCAAGGGAAGGTAGGCAATCCAACACCGCTTTGCAGCACACACAGCCTATTGTGTTGAGTCTATTGTATTCAGAGTAACTCAATGGTTCAAAGGTAGCAGCACCGGGGGGGGGGGAATCTCCTAAGATTTATTGGTCAGACAGCAACGAACAGGCATGGATTACCCAGAGCTGCACAAGAGGGTGCTGGGAGAAGTTCACAGGCAGAAACATTTATTAGCAGGGTCTGTAGCTGATGGCATACATGGACTCCAACAGTAAAAGTTACTCTTTTGGGGGAGGGGAAGCAGGGTCAGAGACACATAGACCCCCAGGCTGATTTCCTCTTTCAGGCTTCTCTCCAGTGCAGCAGGTGCCCCCCCTGTCTTAATACTTTTCCCCATCAAGTTCCCTATCAGTTGTTCCTCCATGCAATGCCATTTGTGTGTGCCACCCAGTGCTTCGATCAGGGGCAGGTGCTGCATGCTGATTAATCACTGAGCTTTGGGCATCATCAGGTCCCCTCATATAAATGGCAACCCCTTCCCAAGGATGTTGCCCATTGTAACACCAATTTGGGGCTTTGCAGGTGCAAGGCCAGGGAAGCAAGGCAAAAATTTGCCAGCAGCTTGGGGGAAGGTTACAGAGCTGTGAGCAAGACACCAGCTTCTGACTTGCAGATGGAAGGCCGGTGGCATTAGAGGCATCTGTCAGTGTGCAGCACTCACTCTGTATAAAACAGCACCTTTAAGGGATATTTGAAGCAAGCAGCATGCCCATACACTGATTGGTCAAGATGTGCTGTAGATTGTTTTAAACATGAACTTAGAAAGAGTGAGATCCTTAAGGTCACATTTGCAACATACAGGTGAGAGCAGTAGAACAAGGAAAATAACGTATCTGTATTGCCCTTCATTTTCATTGCAAAGCTCCTGCATAGCGAGAATGTGAAGTAAGGGTGAAATGACAGTGAAAGTCTGTGTCGCTAGTTTTGCAAAAGAAAATTACTTTCCGATTAAAGTTCTGCATTGCAGCCTGACAGCAGCCCATTCTGGACCCCGAGTCAGCCTACAGGCTAAAACATCACTTTAACCTACGTCTGCTTCCAGTTCAGCTTGCTGTGCAGCAGACTCGCTGTCATATTGTTGAGAAAAGCACTTAGAAATGTACTTTAGTCTTTCTGTCATGTTCTGTGACTAATTAATTGCTGCAATGCTTCTGGGCCAAATTCAGAATAACCTAATGTAGTGTCAAGAAAAGCAATCACTTACCGGAGATTCACATTTCCTCAAATAAAGCTTGTCTGACACATTATAACGCAAATCCTAGCAACTATTAACATGAAACAAAATTCTTCCTTTCACTTATTTCCTGTGTTAATGAAACCCATCTAATAATCTGGACCTAGGATTAAAGACTCCAGATACAATTTCAAGATTGACACGCTAATCGTATTTTGCCATATGCTTCAAAATGGCATATAGCTAAATATTCAATATTGATGAAGGTAATTACTGTAAACCTACCACTCAATTTGTTTTTAAGCAAAGAAATAAGCTACCAGTAAGCATTAGTTGTAAGCCAAACCACAGCACCCTCTGAGAAAGGACTCTGCTCTTCCACTCCTCTGTGAAGTGTTTCAGATCTTTAGTAAAATTACTAATTGTCTGATGTATGAGACACTACTGTACATAATCAGGGACAATCACCCTTTCAGAAATACAGCCTTCTCACAGAACACTAATGTTTTTCCGAAAGCTTTTTAATTCAGCTTTTTGATGTACCAATAACTTTGTTATGAGAAAGCAAGCGTGCTTTCTGTAAATGAGAAGTTCTGTATGACAGCGTCCATCTATATATGCAATTAATAGAAAGCACACTTGTACACATTACTGAAGTACGCACCACAATATCCAGACTCTAAAAAAGAAAGCTTTGGGTAAAACTTATGTAGGCTTGAAGGAATACCACTCAAATCAATAGGAACTCTAACAGGATCAAGTCCTTAATGCACCATTTGTAATGTCTGCAATATCAGAGCTTATGTTAGGGATTTTATTGAGGCTATTTGCCTGTTATAAAGGCCCAAAGATTGGATCCCTAAGCATCTGTGATATGCTACAATCAACTGCCACAATTATGATTTGTTTTTACAGCAAATTAGCATTACACAGCCAAGTATAATTATGTAGCCAGCTGGGCTTCTGCAAATTCCTTACCATTATACAAACAGTCTTATTTGCTTCTTGATAGACATGTTGTTCTGAGACTAAACTGCTAGGGAAATAACCAACTGTCCCCATATGGTCTTCATACTGTTCTCCATAAACCTTCAAGCAAGGAGATGTATAATTAGGTACCTTAAAACAGTCCTCAACTGGTTTGAGCTAGTTCATAATTTAGTCAAAAGCAGTTACTAATAGCATATCTACTCTGACTTTAGATTTTCTAGTTTCCAATTAGCTGGCACATGAAACGAACCATTAACCTGTTCTGATACAGGCATACATTTTTTGGAGAAAATTAATACCACCTATAGTTTATCTGGATTTTTTTAATAAATGCAGCTAATACTTATCTTCGCTTCCCTTAAATTTAGGAGTTTTATGACCAGCTGTGATAAAAGCTTTCTCCTCCATAGTTTCAGCAAACAGCCACAGAAAAGAACTGTTGAGCCCTTCTGTTAAGGTTCAGTTCATAATTACCACATAGTTATTGAAGATATTTCATTAAAAAAAAATTAAAAACCTCAAGACGCCTCTATCAGTTTAAGTTTAAACATTCACTTTGAAAACTAAGTTGTTGCTTTAAAACTCACAATAGCTCAGCATTAGCATCCATTTCTTGACAGAAATGCATGTTAGTCTACTTCCGGTTTGCTCATATACACAAGAATCTCTTCTTACACTTCCAGCCCAGAATTCTCCAGAGTCGTCTTCTTTCACTAGTTTTGAGTAAACATAAATCAACTGCCCTTTTTTAATATTAATGAATCTGCAGTCTGGAGCATTGTAATCCTCTTCTGCTCTGGCAAGGGAAATGGTGTCTAGAAAAAAAATAAATGAGGTGGACGAATTTAAATACTTATATACTTTTCAAGAGAGAAATATAAATACATGTGAGCTTGTATGCACACATGTGAAACTACTTCTACAGATAGAAGTAGGTTATCCTGAAATTAATAGAAGTCTTCAAGGATTTGTTCTGCTAGTTTTTCTACTCTCCAGTAAGCAAAGTAACAGTTTAAGAATGTGCCATTTCATCATAGTGGAATTTACAATCCTTCTCTCTACTTTTATTTAGCTTTCACTTGAGTGAAAACTGTCCTTTACAAAACCCTTTTTGCAGTAAAACTGCATGTGACATTCCATATAAACCCTCCCACTCTGCTTTTAAAGTTGACAAGCCAATGCAAATATAACAGAGCTAAATAAGCAGAGTAGTTTTCCCTCACACTACCACATCCAAAGTCTGCAGTCATTTTTTAGTCCCCCGTATTAAAGCAAAATTACTTACAGACACAGTCATCATCAACACACAGCTTCCTGCTGGCAAGCTTGTCCATAAAAATTCCAGTTACAACAGGACACATTAATCCGAGACACAAAAGTAAAGCAACCAAATTAACGTGTTGTGTCATTTTTCTTTGCTACAGCACCTGCTGAATGCGGCCTGGGTCCAGTGATCCCTGTCTTTTGTGGAAGAGGCAGACACCTGAACAAACATGCCAGGCCAATGGGAAGGCGTTGGGGCAACATTCTGCCCCACTAGAGGAGCTGCAAGCGGAAGACCTCAGGGTCCACTCACAAAACCAAATCCCTTCCCCAAGCCATTCCGCATTAACATTTCAATCAGCAACTGTATTATTTAAACATTTTAAGTCTTCCTGTAGTTGTCCATAGTCTTAATCTTACCTCAAGCAAAGTTTAAGGACAAAAATTAAGTCAGGTCCTGGTAAGCAGCAAAGGAAATTACATCCTTCCAAATCCTCAAGTTCTTCATTTTCACAAATGCTCACTGACAAGCATCATCTTCACTGGACCTTAAGTCCTCAGTGGCAGAGATTCCCCTGTTAGGGTCTACAAAAAGGACCTACTAGGACCTTAACACATGGACACAAATGTAAACAAACCATTAGGGAGTTGGAAGCCCAGTAAAAATTTCAAGTCAGCAATTTAAATGTGAAGTCTGAAAGGTTCAAGCACTGCATACTTGTATAGGCAAGATCCCTTCCACAGGGAGACACAGTCAAAAGCAAAACCCACAGGTTACGCCAGGACAGCAACTATTTCACTTTTACTTACATAGCTGAAATCAGTTCAGAGTTCGCAGATGCAAGATGCTGAACAACATACACTGCCACAGCCTGACTTAAAAGGCCCTCATTATGCCTTGGAGAGGACATCTAGAATTCATCTAACTTCCTAAAATCTTGTCCTAGCATAAATGAGGCAAGACTTGTAGGGAATATTTTAATTAAAATAGATGCGCGCACACACACACAAGGAACCACCACTGGAGTTACTCCACTGTAAGCAATTCACATCCCAGCTGTCAGGCTACAGAAGGCTGGTCTGGATCAATCCTTAAAAGTGACCAAGCACAAGTTTGGAAATTCCCCAAACAGCACTCCAGAGAACCAGTGCTTCCTGATTCACAAGGAGGCCTCAAGAACTGCTGGCTGTACCAGCTTTCAGTCCACAAGCAGAACAGAGGAAGCTGTCAACTGTCATCAAAAATCCCCTACTCTCTTTTAAAGAAGGATCATCTTCCAATTTTTAGCATCACCTTCCTATTACAGCTGACTTCACCACATTATTCTCTAATCTTCCAGCCCATTACTCCTTCCTCCAGCCTCCTATATGTAGTGTCTAACCTCCCTTGCAGACAGCTCCACACAAACCCTTCTAAGTGAACAAAGGTGAAGAGCAGTAGTATGCAATGGTAGTCTCATGTACACAGACTAGTGGGATGCAAGGACAGCATAATTAACACCTATAAAATTATGACTGCAGAAGGAAAACATAAGGTTTGTGACCGAACAACATACTCACTTTTGCTCCCTTACAGGCACATGGCAACAATTTTCACTTGCAAGTATTAGAATACTTGTGAAATCACACACACACTAAAGAGAATGAAAAAATAGAAAGACAGTAATTGAGATGACTGTGGAAGGGGCAATGTACTCTGGGAGCAGAACATGAAAGATTTTTCAGGTCTTGTGCAAAAAAAGGTGTTTTATGTAGCTAGTTTTATGCTTACAGATAACATAGTACTTGCTCAGAAATTGAGTGGATGTGCCAGAACTACGAAGCACACCAAGATTTTATAAAAAGCAATCATGCTTGCCTGAAGGTGCAGCACTTTGTCCAAAGAACAGTTTTAAGTCAGCTCTCAATTGTTTCAGAACACAAACTGAGGGAAATGAATGCTCTGCAGCTACAGCCGAGCCCACTCAACACAGGAAGGAACTGCACTGAGCCAGTTATAAAGGAAAGTCTATGGCCTCCAGCACCCTTCCTCCACCCCTATTGACCAAATTACTTTGGAAACAGAAAAAAACTTCAACACTTGCAATGTAGCTGCAATGCAAAACATTCTTCCTTGTAGTTTCTTGCCTAAACATCAGCTACTGTAATACTTGCCTGAACTATGACTAAAAGGAAATCACGCTAACTCTATCCCATTACTTCTTTGTCTGAAAAGGTAGTGGCCTCACAGTATTCAAGTGAGGAACAGTGCAGCATGACAAGCATTGCGTGAGCGCTTCCTCTCAAACATTAATTTTCAAAGGTCTGATTGCAATCCTCCTAGCCAACACCATGCAACAGCTACTGCAAGATTCACCAAAAATAGTCACATTTTAAGTAAATTTAATTATTCTCCTAACCCAAAATATCTTTCTAGATCTTCCATCACCTGAACAGAACACTTCAGCATTTGAAGTGATTTTTGCACCCAAATATTTAGAACAGTTACAACTCAGAATGCTACACCTAATTCCTTCACTGCATTCAGTGTATTTCATGTCACACAAGATGTGTAAAGGTTTTTGAGAAATGGAAAAAACAAAACACCCCCCCCCCCCATTTTGTAAAAACCTGCTGAAAAACAGAACATCAGGTTCATCTGCAATGTCTTTAGAAGAAGCCAGAAAGCTCTTCCTAAACCATTTACAGGGCTGGAAAGAACAGAAGACAACAGATAAACTTTTATGTTTCTTCTGTGGACCTGCTTCTACTACCAGCCATCACTATAAAGACAAAACCAAGTTGAACAACAGTGTTGTCAAACTGTAATCAATTTCTACCCACACCTGGAAGAAAACCCCCACTAATGATAAGTTGTCTTCTTAAGTGACAAAATTATTCTTGATGAAAAGCAGCTGTCCCCTTGATAATGAGGCTGAAGATTGAGTGTTGCATTTATTCTGAATATGCGGACATTTAGCATTCCTGCTCATGCTTTTTGCTCTGGAAAGACAACTATTTTTTCAGCACTCACTTCTGAGAAATGAGTGTCACCTTAAGAGTAGTTAAACCAGTATACTGAATTAGACCTGCAAGCCCAACAAATCAGTAATAAGACAGTTTCAAAGAAAAACATGGCTAGAGAACAGCATAAACTGAATTTATTTTATAAAAATTACTATTTCAACACAAAAATTTACTGTCCAGTAGATCTATAGAAACCCTAAGTCTGTCCTGGCCATTGTTGGCAGTTTTACACAAGTCTGAAGTTTTCTGCAGAGAACAGCAAGCATGCTAGCTAATCAAAGTATCATTGTATTAAAAAAAACCCCAACTATCCACAGAAGTCCTTTATAGGATCATCCGGTTATTTCTTCGCATAAGTGATTTTCATGGCATGAGACGGAGTAATCTTGAATCCTTGCAGAGCATCTCGAGCAGCTCCTGCTTGATTCTCGTTTTCAAACTCCACAAATGCAATGTCATGGCGCCCAGGCACTAAGCGTACCTCTTTGAATCCAGGAAACCTTTAAAATAAGGTCAAAGAATCAGATAACACTTCCTAGCTTGATAATATATCTCTCTTCAGTAGCCGTTAAGACCTTATCATAAGCATCTACTAGTATAAGTTACTACTAATGAAAGGTTTAAATTGAAGGGTTTTACATGTCCAGTCCTTAGAACCATGCCTCAATCAAGGATCATTACGTGGAAGCAATTTAATCAGTCTTGTACACATACAGAAGCAACTAAAGCTAGTTTTAAAACTGCTCCTGCTGTCGTAGTCTTTAACATTAAAGTCCCCAGCTTAAATCCGGTGCAGATTGATAGTAGATAACTCACACAATCAAAACCAGCTATGAAAAAATAGGATTTGCTTTCTGCACCAAGTCATCAGGACTGACATCTGTAATCTTGGCAGTAAGACAAAGAACTGGAATACTTTCAGAAGAAACTCTTGTTTCTAAAAAGTCAGCTTGCCAACTGAGAAAAAGCATACAGGTAACAGAAGAATTCAAAGGAGAAGTTGTCTCTAGTCAAAACTTACTGATTGAACAACATGGACAGCATCATCTCATTTGTTTCCTCAGGCAAGTTATTAAGGAAAAGGATATAGTTTGGCGGGTTATCAGGCACCTGCAACAACAGAAGATCAAAGCTCAGGAGATTATACACAGCTATCTGTTCCTCTGCATCTGTCTGCATGATTATTTGAACCAAGACTCACATATCCTTAGTTTCGCTTGTTAACGCTGCTAGCTGGACTTCAGTATACCTTCATGCAATATGCAGACAAGAGCCCTGTGGCTCTTTTACATGTATTTGGAGAGACTCTTATTTCCACAAAAATCACAGTAACGTATTCTTAGATGTCATATTTAAATTCAACAACTCAACAGGTGATACTGCAGTACTGTCAGCAATGCCAGGGGCGGGACCCAGGTGCCTAACCACTGGCTGTGATGCTGTCCAAGACACCTTTATGGCAGTGGAAGAACCTATGAAACCTTGCATCCTTCCCGAAGAACAGCCGGAGGCCAAGATAAATACCCTGTTCATCTGCAGTAGTACCAAAATACCGAGTATCTTTGGGCAGCTGAAACCCACAAAACCCACATGGTTTTACTACAGTACTTTATTCAAATTTGGTAATTAGAAACCCCATTAGATTTAAAGCTTTAGAGCCTTTAACAGATTTGCCCGCTAATATGAATTTGTAGCAACTCACCAGACACAAGGCTGAGTAGTCAGTTTGCTGACACTGGACTGAAAGGCTGGAATCTCCCTAAGTCATCAAGGAGATTACAAAAATAAAAAGAAGCTGGACACCACAACTTCAAACGTCCTAATAATGGTGCCAAATAAGTTAATGCCTCAGCAGAACAATTCCCTTCAGCTGATGGAAATATGCCAGGCAGTGCCATTAGAAAATAAACTTCTGAAGTTCAAACAAATGCCTCAATATTCAATATTGTGCTTCAATGCAAACTGACATAAACATATTGTGCCTTGTTACAAATGATACCCTAAAGAAAGCCCAGTCTGGGGGAAAGATATTTTCCCCTGTGGATTATGTATGCAATTCTCAATGATAGTACTCAAGAAAGATGCAGGGCAGGCAAAGATATTCTTCTACAGTATTTGCCCTCCTGCAAATCCTGGCTCTTTAGTACCTCCACTTCTAACACACAGGAATCATTCAGAAGGTCAGTGAGCAGACAAGATCAGTGAAGCGTAGGGAGCTGTTGCTACATCTCCACACAATCCTTTGGAAAATAAGACACATACAAGAAAAAAAAAAAAAGTGAGCAGAGGACACCCAAACTCCTGAAAGGAAGCTTTTCAGCAGATATGCTGGCACCCTGTGCAGTCTTCCTTCTCCTTTTCTACTACTAGAACAAAACACGTTAAAGGGAATTTATTAACAATGGAAAAAAAAAAAAAAAAAGAATCCATCAACTGATACTAAGCACAGTCCAAATTTAAGAATCAAGTAGTTAATAGTGCAGTTTCCTGTGAAATAACGAGAAACTACAGATTTTCATTTCATGTCAACCAGATATTGTAAAAGTGAGATTTCTTTTGTTTGTCTACTGTGATTCAGCTGTTAGACAAGTGCCTCAGAACAAAAAGGAAGCTGTAAAATATAGCCTCAAGTTTCCATGTGCAAGAAACTATTATTCATAGAGAATAATTTTAAACATTAGTGCTTTTAGTCACAAAAAAATAAAAGCATTACCTGCTGATTCTGTGCTGCTGTCCCTGGGGCACTGGCTGAATTTTGTGTTGCTCCCTAGTAAATAAGCACAAAATAGTTTTACAAAGGTGTTCTGTTAGAAACTCTGTACAACTCAAGAAGTATGTTAAGGTTTTCCTAAGCTACAATCCAAGGAACATTTGTTGCTTATGAGATACTTCCTGAAGGGAAACATATAGCACGTGAATTTTGCTGAACTCTTAAAACGAGGCAATCAAATAAAAACCATCAGTAGTATCTTATCTGACTAATGGCCAAGTCAGCAGATACATCAAATCACTATTTCTCCACATGATAAAATTTGGTTTAGTAGACAGGAAGGAAGTAGTTCTGAAAATGAAGGCCTAAAAAGGACATACCTATTAGGAGAAAAATAGGTATTTCCACTGAGGACTCCAGTTTAGCAAAGATAACCAAAGTTCCTACCATTACAGCTAGTAGCAATTATTTCTTCTTAAGATATTTGTATGTAACGATTGATTTTTTTAATAAATGCTGAGAAATCTGAATATTCTACCTAGAAATGCTTTCTATGGACACTTATCTCTCCTTGATAACAGTTTGTGCCTTAGCAGGAAGTGTAGTTAAATACAATATTCAAACTCTGTGCCTTGACGTTTTCTGCTATACTTCAGCACAAAAATTACTAAGTGTTGTTAGTTTAGGCCAGGCCAACCCTTAGTGGACATATATTCCAAGCCAAGTCCTTTTCATCTAGCTGTAAATTAGTTATCTTGTTTCCATTTACCATTCTTCAGTGCTTATAGAGCAAACAGGGCATTAAAACACTGAAGGGAAAAGCTGGCTGAGCACTTGAAGCTGGCATTAAAGATAAGCACACACCCCTTGGTTTTTTCCTTTTTAAAAAGGAGGTTAGTTTCTACTTTGGTTTATTGTACCTTTGCCCTACATCTTTATTTTTACCTGGTAATAGCAAAAGAGGGGAAAAAGAAAAAAAAAAAAAAAAAAAAAAAAAAAGAACAGCAAGGACTATATGATCAGCCCCTTCTCCTTCAACTTTTAATGAGTACTCAAGAGCACTAGATATCAATAGACCACAATTTAGGGAATTGAGAAGTACCAAAAGACAATACTTAGTCCTAAAAAAAAATAATTTAAAATAGCTTTTGTGTGTGTTTGTTTTTTCTTTTTTAAACAGAGAAGCAGCTTACCTGGATAACCTTTTTATTTGCTGCATTTGCTGACTGCTCCAGAGATTTGGCCTTCTTCTTTTCCTTCCTTTTTTCCTTATCAGCAAAAGTACCACGCATTTTAGAGATGATATCAGAGTCTGTTTTTGCATACTGAATACGCTTTGTAAAAAGAAAAAAAAACCAGTACATTTTGCATTTAATAATAATGAACATTTTGTACCACTTTCATTAACTGTTTTACTGTGCATTTACACATTTTTCTGCAGGAACTTCTTATATTAAAAACTTTGTTATAAACTGTAGGAATGCTTACAGAGTATCTAATCCTCATAATTAATTCTGAACATAACTACAGAACTCAAAAAATCCTAAGATGGAAATTAATCACTTTAACTCATTGGAATTGGAACTCTATTCATCTAACAGCATTTTTTTAACATCTGTCAAGGTAACAGATGTACAAAGCAATATAAGGACATTTGACAAAATAGGCATTAGCTTCTACTAAAAAACCTGAGGGTTTTTTAACCCTATTTTAAGGGGAGTTAAAATTTTAGTGATTTCTTAGATCTCTGCAGAAAACTGAGTTCAGCAAAACTTAGACTTCTTAAATAGAAAGGAAAGTACCTGCCTTAATCCAACCTGGATTGCATAAATTGTGTCAGCAGCACAACAGTGCTGGTTTTCTGACAAAGGCTGCCCCATGCACTAGTTGGGGGGTAAACAGATTCAGCTATGAGTATACAGGTGTGCAACATTATATATGCACACAATCCTATCCCTTTTACTATCAAAGACTACCTCAATACAAAATTACACAGCAGTTGAAGAATTTTTTTTTAATGCTTTTATTTAGTGCTTAGATAGAGTATGCATGCTGCAGGCAATATTAAAAGAGGGAAGTATGCCCAAAAGCTTATGAAGTCTTAATCTTTTTATTTCCTATTGAGTTTTACTAAGCACAAAACTCTTCAAGGGTAAACAACAGAACTGAGCTTGCACAATTCCTTGCTGAGGATTTCATTACAGAATCCTAAAGTGTTAATAAGCTCATGGCTCAGCAACACAAGAACCGTCTGTGCTCTCCTTAATGATCAAAGCCATGAGCTGAAAGCCAGTATTAATATATCCACCCATCACTGAAGTCAAGTGGGCCATTTGCATGTATCATTATGTCTCACAAATAGTTGCAGAATTAAGAGATACCTAATTATCCAAGCAGGCAACAACAATGTATCAATTGTTGTGCTATTCTGTACCTTATCAGGTACATTATTAAATCACGTTCTATCAAACAGCCATGTACTTGCTTCACTGAAGTTATACTGAAATTCAGTTATGTGGTTCGGTGATCTGATGCATGCCAAGCAGAACTAGCCATCGATTTAAAAAATATAGATCTCTGGTCACATCTGTTGATTTCTGTAAAGTAAAACTGCAGAGATCTTCATGCTGCTCACTATTACCTCAAAAAGTCAGCATCATATTCTAGCTATTTATTATGACTATTCAATAACATTACAGAATTAATTAGAACAGTTCAACAGAAGACATGATGAGTAAAATGGAAGTATCTAAGATCTTAAAACCTTTAATGCAGCACAGAAAAACATAAAGCCATCACTTAGGAAACCTAAAAGCTAAGTTCAGCCTCTGTATGTGTTTTAACTACAGTCTCTCTGGCATCCCTCTAGCTTGCATAAATACATATATTTATCAGGACATGACGTGACTGAGTAACAGTACATTAATTCACAAGGCACAAGTACGAAAACACTGTATCGTACTATGGCAAATTTTTTTCTTTAAAAAGCTAACAAAATAACCTACCATTGGTTTCCCATAAAATGGAAAGCCTTGTAGTTGTCTCAAAGCATTAGTAGACGATCCAAGTTCTTTAAATATAACAAAAGCCTGTCCTCTCATCTTCATAGTCTTTAACGCTACAATGTCGACCACATGACCGAACTGTGAGAATAACGCATACAGGGACCTCTTCAGTTCTGTTGACAATATGAAAAAATAGATTTTAACAGGTTGCATGCAAATGTCCACTTCTACAGAGTTCGCTGTCCTTCAGGAACAATATTTTTTGCCAGCTTTAGCTCACACAGTGATATGTTACGTGAGTTTAGTCAAAACTATTGCATAAGTACATGTTTATTTGCCCAGTTTTTGTAAGCTGGTGTATAATGCTTGGTTTCACACCTCAAGTATTCAGTTAGTGAAAAAGCTGTACCACCATCCATTCTACCATTCTAAGAAAGCAAAGATTACACAAGGATATGTATATAGATTTTTTCATATACACATATACACACACCTTCTCACACATTCAAGTGTGATGTATGACGGCCATCAAAGACTGATGAGAAATCAATACTGTAACACCTAACAGTGAAGAGGTATGACTTAAAACAAGAACACAGCAAAATAGTAACTACTTAAAGGCTAATTAAATTTGGAATTTTTGCTTCTGTTTAATCAATTCTCTTACACACATGAAATATATTTTCATATTTTGCATCCGAATACGTTTTTGTATGATCACACTGTACCTTACAACTGCAATGGATTTATTTTCATTATTTAAGATCACCTGACTACATGCCAAATTAAACCTTACTCTTATCCAATCAAGCTAAATAAATCCTCTGCATTGCGTGATTATTCTAACTCACAAATCTTATATTTGAAATATTTCAGCAACAGAAGAGAGCTGGTTCTTGTTTATTGCTGTTGAGACTTGATAATACCAGCCCACTGTCACTTTCTCCAGCTGCTCTTGACCAACCATAGCGTTATATTTTTTAAAAAAGTTTTCTTATCAAAACACCTTCCTTAAAAATAACTTCAAAACCTGTATTAAAAAAAAAAAATCACACTTGTAAGCTTTACAGGTAATTTGAAATCCTACATTTAAAAGTTATAATGACACAATTTCATAATGGAGACTTACTAGTTTATAGGGCACTTAACAGGCTACAAACAAAGGCCCAAGTTAAATTTATTCAGTGGAACCACCCTGACAAGTTAATAAGTAATTTCTCAGCAAAGCTGTTTCCACTCTCAGATCTCTCTCTGAAGGACCCTGAAGAAACATTTAAGTAGTGCTAGTTTGATCCAGCCACTCGGTTCACAAACAATAACAAATAAATTACCATGATGACTTTAGATTACCAGCTAAGCATGGGTATTATGCAGACATTGAATATGCAGCCTCTCTCTCTCTCTCTGCAGTAACTGCAAGGCATTGTCTGCCACGCTCACTGCTTTTGCATGGTGCTAAAACAAATGAGGAGCACACAGATGTTCCCACATTTCAGCGAGAGGGGACTGCTGACCACTGAAACGTATGCCAACACGCCTGTTGGCATTCATCGGATATTCCGATTACTCCTACTGTTACAGCTCCTCAGCGACGAGCAAACCTAACCTATACAACTAGCTTCAGAACTACAGTAGAAAGGCAATCAGAAGCTTCCTTGGAAATACGGGCCCTGGTTTACAAAAAGACTTAAACGATGTGCTACGTTCGTTGACTTTGGCGGCTGCTCCATTACAAGCAGCCGTTTGCCGAGAGCTCGGAGCGCGACCCCCGGCCGTACGGCACTTCAGAGCTCCGGGAGACCCCGAAGCCACGGCACTGCCAAAACGCCAGCCGCTGGAGCAGCGACGAGTGCACGGCCGGGGATGGAAGTCGGCCCCATGTGACGAAGTTCGCCTTCTAGAGGCGAGTCACACACCCCGATACCTTCTTTCTTAATCTTGTCGTTGATGTTGTTGATGTAGATGGTGTGGTTCGGCCTGATGTCCATCCTCGGGGGCGGCTGCAGACCTGCCTGCGGGCAGAGCACATGCGGGAGCCGTTGGCGGGGGCCGAGGCGCGGTCCGAGCCCTCGGGGAGGAGAGCTGCCAGCGCCGGCAGCACCCCAGCCCCCGGCAGCGCCGCGCACCCTCCGCCGCGGGACCCGGGGCGGGGCCCAGGGGGCTGCCCGCTTTCCCGCGGGCCGCACGCACGCCCCGCTCCTAGCCTCCCTTCTCTTCCCCTCCCCTCCCCGCGCGGCGGGTCGCTAGGACGGCGGGACAGGTGCTCCGGGGAGGCGGCTCGCCATCCCTCCTCCCTCCCGCCCGCCTGCCTAAGCCCGAGACCCAGGCGGCCGCCCGCCTCACCTCCTCCCGTCAAGATGGCGGCCGGCCCGTCCCATCCCGCGTGCGCGGGGACGCGGCGCAAGCGGCGGAGCTGCTCCCGCAGCAATCGATGTGCCGAGCGCCGGCGCCTCGATGCCGAGGGGCGCCTGCGCAGCCCGTCCGCCGCAGGGGTTGCCCTGCTGGCGCCGTGTTGGTTGAGCTGCTAAGTCCTGCCGCTGCTGCCGGCGTGTGCTCACACTGTAAGGGCAGCGAGGTAAAAGGGGAAACGGGTCATAAAGCCTCTCGACAAGCGGCTCGGTTTAAGTAACGTGGGGTAGTAACCGATGTCGGTTATTTGCTCCCGGGCCTCACCACAGAGGCTAAGCAACCTGCAGGCGTGCCTGGTCTCGTGGCGGCCTCAGGGCCCGGAGGCCCTGCTGCCCCAGTGGGTCTCGCCCGGCGCCTCCGCCCAGGCCGGAGAAGTGTCGTGCTCGGTCCGCGGTCTGGTGAAGCCCTCAGAAACGCCTCGGAAGCTCGGTCTGTCTTTAGATTAGTCCCAGGGTGAGAGAGGGTAGTAGCTGGGCCTCCGCGGAAATCACAGCGAGGCTTGAAACTGACCGAAGTGGGGATTCCCTGCCCCAGATTTTACCTCTGCTTTGTTCCAAAAGAGCAATAAGTAAAGTTAGCTGTGATGCTTATGTCTTCACTGTTAACACTTCATAGCAGCTTGTGGAGAATGAAGAGAAGTAGTAGCTTGAAAGTGCCTGTAGACATTCATTAGCTAACATTTGGGTTTAGTTTCAGTATTGAAAAGGCAATATATCTGAGCATGTAACTTCTTGAACGTACTTTGGAAATCCTTGTGCTAGCAGTAGCTCAGGATAAATAAACAGAGCAGAGATTGAGCCTTTGAATTTTTGGAATAATTTTGCAGGCTGCATCCCTTCATTTATATGAATAATTCTGCAGGCTTTTTCAGAAACAATTCCAAGCGGTGAAGGTTTAACCTGGTTGCATATCAAAAAGAAGTTCTTCGCAGGGGGGGAAACAATAAGATAGCTCTTACTTAAACCATAAATTATGTTTGGACAGTTCATCTCTTTGTAGCAGGAATGCTAGGTAAAGACTTCGTGGTTCAGTTACATTTCAGGAAAAAAACTGTTACTTCCATATTCTAGAGTTTGCTTGAGTAAAAAGAAAATCTGGTATTTAGGAAGCCTATAATAAACAACATGGATTTAAGTGAGTTGAATATAAAAGAAAAAAAAGCTGTTGGTTGAGATGTTATTTACTGGTGGAAGAGAACAATGTGTTCTTCAGTTGTTTATGGCATTGCATGGTATGGGAAACGGTGTGCCAGTACGATGCTGTATGCAATGTATACATGCCACAAATTCAAGTGATAGGCAGCAGTTCGGGTAAGGTTTTAGGATCCTATTTCTTTTTCTTCATTTATTGTCATAGAAGTAGTTAAGATAAAGCATAACTTTGAAATCCAAGCACTAACAATACATTAAAACACTTTTTCAGAAAGGCTGACTGTGGTATTTTATGTGTTGATCAGCAGTATAGTTCATGTAACTTAATAGTTTAGTAACAACGTTCAAAACTACTTACTGAGTCAACATAGCTAAGAGAATTTGTCGTGTAGAATCAAAAATACTGACATATAAATGGTTTTTAAAACAAAGTCCTTAAACTGTTCATAGAGAAGACACTCTAAGGAAAACAAACACATGAAAAACCTCAACCTGACACAAAGTAAGGAAGAATTCATGGCTTCTATAATTCTTCCAGTGGAGCATGCCACACTCATACTTGGTCAGAGTCACTTTAAGCACAGCTGATTTATTCTTGCAGAATTTGAATGCAATAAAGCGGAAAAGCTGTGTCCTGTTCCTCAGGCGGGATTTCACACTCTGCCTGCCAGTTCAATAGAAGTGACATTCATTCCTCAGGTTGGCTTTCCCTCACTTCTCCTCAAGGTTTATTTGGGTTACTTTTGTTTTCTTAATCCCGAAACAGAGAGGTAGAGTGCTCTGATACTCACTAAAATGGTCATTTGTTTAAAAGTCCCTGAAAGCTTGAAGTGTTGTAAAAATTATTTCGAGTTTCTTAGCAAGAATGCCCATAGCAGCTTGGTAAGCAATTGTAATTCATCACCAATATAATGGGCTGGAAACATACTTCCAGCTTCAACAGGTAGCTGCTTCATCAGAGTTTGTCAAGCAGTGTTGGAAAAACAAAGCGGAGAGCACAGGGTTCTTGAAAATACCTTTGTAGCCACTGCTGTTCCCCCTTCTTGCCCGTTGCTCAAGGTCAAAGAAACCTAGCATTTCATTATTATTGCTGTTGTTATGAAACCTATAATAAAAATAGAGGGTTTTTTCCTTCATTTTCCTTTTCTAAATTCAGTGCAATTCTCTGAACTAAAGCAGAACAATAATCAAGATCTGTGTATCATGAAAGCTCACAATATCGTGCAATCCTCACAGCTTTGATTTGGTCCACATACACATAATGATGCTTCACACTTTTCACAGTTGTTATCTTGCTGTATGAAGATTGTGAAATTGTTAAAGTTATGTTACTCTAATTTATCAATATAGAAATATTTTCATCTCACCAGTGCATGTGTGTGTAATCAAAATCACATGCTAGAAAGAGACACGAGTGTGAATGCTTTGAGATATGGCTGGATTGGTCTTCAGTGTTTTGGTTCTACCCTTTGACTGATGTGTTCTGCTGTGTCAAGAACTGCCCATTGGAAAATGGGCAGAGACAATGAACAAATGACAGGAAATACATCCAATTCCCTAACAAGTACAAATGTATGGCAGTGGTGTTGTGAGCACTTGCAAAGTCAATATGCATGAAACCTCACATGTAAGACAGAAAAGGTTCTTTGAAGGGTGAATGGCTTAGGGATCTATATTCAATTGGAAGGTGCAAAAGAGAAGGAATTGTGTCCTGTAAATCAGTGGTTGCTGGGCAGTTTTACTGACTGCCATCCACCAGTGTAAATTGCCAGAAGGAGCTGAGGAGGCTGCCGTGATTTACAGGTTATTGTTTGCAGGCTCAGGATACACGATCTCTGCAAACTAACAAAGCAGAGTGAACGGACAATGTGATGGCAGAAGAAATTTAGTATTGGCAAATGCATGGCAAAGCACTTGGAAAAGCATCATTTGAATGACCTGAATTAACTGTAACCACTCAGGAAGACGACCCAGCTGACTCACTTTGGGGGACTAAAATACCCAGTGGTAGGGAGAGAGGCAAGCAAAAGCACCACGTGGAAGGGAAGAAATGTACTGCAGTTCCTTTAATAAGGCTGTTTCATAATCTCTAAAAAGATGCTTGAATGTATTACTGGTTGATCTAAACCAAAAAAAACCCCTCCACACATTCCTCTGACATTTATTATTGGCCATTTATACTTTTAATTGTTAAATACACTGCATGACAGACCTTTCAGGTAGATGATGTAATTTAGTCAAGGGAGCTTCACCAACCAAGGGAAGAGTACACCATCCCAACCAATTATTTATTACTATTGTTTCAGAGGAAAATAGTTCTATCATGATTAATACAACTGTTTGCTTGTTCTCTTGATCAAATCACTTTTCTCCCTTACCAAGTCCACAGGAAAAAAAGCACAGCACTTTATTCTTTGGATGTACTTCTAGTTTATGGCAACAGAAAACAGTTGCATTGTTTAAAAAAAGAATTTACCATTATTAAGTGAACCAGAATTAAACTTTAGATACTTGATATTTATAGTTAATTAGTTATATCCAGCATAAACTGTGAAATGAGTATATTTCATCTTGATGCTTTATCAAGTATGCTAGGAAAAAAATTTTAAAAACACTAGAACTGGGAGGGGGACTCAACAGGTCACACAACAAACTTGTTCAACAGAAGCCATCTGAGTTCACTAATGAATTAGTCCCTTTCCCATCTCAGCTCGGTTTCTTCAATTTTAGTGCTCACCAGATGACAGCAACTATCACTGCTCTATTAATACTTAGAAGTTTCAGTTAACATCAGGGCTTTTGGAATCCAGTAACAGACCACCTCCCTGCCCCCCCAAAAAAACCCCAGAGCCACAGAAAGGAAGGGTCTGTGCCCCAGAGAACATGCCAAACCCTTAGCAGCCCCTTGGTTCAGTTTGCTCTATGGTTGCGCTCAGCTTCTAGACTGGCCTTTCCTTTAGGGGGGAGCCTGTTCCCTCTCAGGCTAGCTGCTGCTGTAGGGCCTGGCATCTCTGATGTTACACTGCTACTTCAATCCCTTGGGGCAAAAGATCATCTGAAATTGCAAGTATGCTGAACACTGCCCTTAACAGAGGACTCCTCACATTTGCTATATTTATCATCATGGTGATTTCCAATTAGTTTGGGTGTGCTAATATAATGAAAAAGATGAAATATGGGTAGCGTTTTTAATTTCATAAAGATGGTTCCAAATTAGTTCAGGGTACTGGCGTTGTCCTTTATTAGTATTGCCTGGTGGTAGTGTTATCTGTCCACACTGTAACTCTTCACTGGGAAGCATAGCAGCACACTGGTTTGATTTATTATTGTGCAAGAACACCTGCATTCCTTCCCTTTTTCTTTCAGTCTGGGTTAATTTTTTTAGTTTTACTGGAATCAGCATACTAAGTGATGTGACTTACATTGAGAGTTTGAAATTGAATACTTTTCAGTCCTAATACATGTGATACATGGCAGCATAATGAAATCAAGAGTTACCTGCTTAGTTGTATAAAATTGCCTGGTTGTTTCCATTGCTTTTTTCTTTTTAATCCTCACAAACTGCC